CAAGAATACTGGAACTACAGAGATGAAATCGCTGAGATTGATGGAATCATGTTTAAAGGGGAGAAGATCATCATCCCCAGTAAACTCAGAAAGGTCATGTTAGAGCGCATACATGCGAGCCACATGGGAATAGAAAAGAGTAAGAGCAGGGCAAGAGACATCTTGTACTGGCCTGGCATGGGACAATAAATCGAAGCAGCTATAGCGGCCTGCAACATCTGCCAAGAACGCTGCAACTCGAAACCCAGAGAACCCTTAATGTCTCACCCTGTACCCAAAAGGCCATGGCAAGTCATTAGAACAGATCTGTTCACTTGGAACTCAAAAGACTACATTGTCATAGTAGACTACTTCAGCAGATATTTTGAGCTAGACAGCCTACACTGCTGTACTTCCACATCCATCATAACAAAACTGAAATCAGCAATGGCAAGACACGGGATCCCAGAGATCGTCATCAGTGACAATGGACCATGCTACAGCTCACGTGAGTTTGCACATTTCACAGAAATGTGGGGATTCACGCATAACACCATCAGCCCCCACTATCCACAGAGCAATGGACTTGCTGAAAAGACAGTTCAAACAGCAAAAAGGCTACTGGACAAAGCAAGAGCTGAGGACAAAGACCCATATCTCAGTCTACTAGAATATAGAAACACCCCAGTAGATAACCTAAAATCACCAGGGCAACTACTCATGAGCCGTAGACTACGTTCCATCCTCCCCACCACAGCTAATCAGCTGCAACCACAAGTCACCTGTCTAAAGGGCATACGTGAGAGGAGAGAAGTATGTCAACGCCGACAGCAGACCTACTTCAACAGATCCGCCAGACATCTACCCCCACTGCCTGCAGGTACGCCCATCCGTTTCCTGCAGGGAGACGGTTCCTGGAAACCTGCAACAGTAACCCAGCCAACAAAGGCCAAAAGGAAATACCACATCACCACAAACGAAGGTCAGACATTCAGATGAAATAGGCGTCACCTCAGACAGAGACTCCCCAATGACAACCCAGACGTGTGTGCAGAGGACCCTCAACACCCTGAGCCTACTAGCAACAACACACAGTCTGCTCATCCAGACCCTGTGAAGCCACCAGACTTAAATATACCAACAAGCGCTCCACCACCTTGCTACATCACGAAATCAGGGCGTGTTGTAAAACCAAGACAAATCCTTGATTTGTAATTATTGTGTATAATAAAACATATTTCTTGGTACCAGCTGATGCAACGTTCAGAATTTGCACAAGCTATATTCGTCGTAAACAACCATTGTTAATATGGAAAACACAGAATGTTTTGTTAGTTAAAATGTTAAGCTATTTGCCAACTTGTATAATACTACCTTGTATTTTGTACAAGTTTGTATTATTTACTGTTTTACCATGTTTGAATACAGAATGTTATATGTAAGCAGCCATTTCGGTGATATGCATTTCATGGGATTTTTGGAAGCAGTGATGTTGTGTTACATTTAGTTTCTGGTACCGGTCAAATACTGCTGTTGTACTCGCTAATAAAAATGATCCGATATAAACACAACAGTGTCACTTTATGGCAACGTTACATTAACCTCACACAGGCTGAGCAGGTGATTAAGCAGAGTAGAAGATATTTCAGTGGTGTGGAGTAGGGCTGGGTGATCAAACAGTCATTTCTGATTGATAAATGTGTTTGATCTGCTTTTGAGCAACTCCCCGTACAAGCAACTTGTTAGACCTCAGCCCTAGCGTTCAGTAGCTGAAGCAGTGAACCATATACTGTAGTAGGTTTGTATATTGGCAAGAATCTGGCGATACGATACATATCACAATACAGGAGTTATGATTCCATATATTGAGATACTGTAAACAAGGCCATGTATTGTGACATTGGAACCAGTTATGTTAAGTACAAATTCCTGCCTGGGCTTTGACAGCTTTACCCAATTTGCATCTAGGACCCACAGTGCAAAAAATTCTTGGACTTTCTTGTCTCAATCTTTAGAGATGTCCAAAATCACCCAATCAAATCACACCTCTATCTGCACTATGTAATGAATAAGATGTTGCCACCACGGGGGGCCAGCAGTTGGCTCAATGTTATCTAGAGTCACCAAAGTGGCAGGGCCATTCTCCTAGAAAGGGGGGAGACTCTGCATGGGTTTTAGGTCTGATAAATGCACGCATCTCTGGAGGTCAGCACTCATTGGCATGTGTTGGCTCTAGAATTGCCACAGTTATCCAAGTAACATGGGAGCGATCAAAGGAAACTTAACTTATTTAATGAGCCATATGCAGTTTCACTGTACTGGCTGTGTGTACTTGCATGGCTTACCTTTGGGAAACATTGTGCTCACTGGAGCCCCACTGTGTGAGCTGGGGGCGGCTGTGCTGTGGGGGCTGGGACCCCAATGACAGGCTCTGCTGTGGGAACTCTGGGGCAGACAGGATTCTCGGTCTTGCCACCAATCGGGCAGCCCGGCAGCAACATAGAGGATTCAAGACGGTGACGAGTTGGCCTACAGATGGGAGGTTGAACAGCTGGCCCTGTGATGTGGTCACAACAACCTGGAGCTGAACACATGGAAGACAGTGGAGATGATAGTGGATTTTAGGAGGAACTCCCCCATCTTATCTCTGCTCACCATACTCAGCAGTACTGTTTCAGTCATGGAGTCCTACAAGTTCCTGGGCTCCACAATCTTTCAGGACTTGAAGTGGACAACCAACACCGGTGCCATTATTAAAAAGGCACAGCAGAGGATGTTCTTCCTGTGTCAGCTCAGGAAGTTCAACCTGCCTCAGGAGCTGTTGATTCAGTTCTACTGGGGAATCATCGAGTCGGTTCTCTGCACTTCCAGCTGTGTCTGGTTTGGCTCAGCAACCAAACAGGACAGGAACAGACTCCAGCGGACAGTCAGAACTGCAGACAAAATCATCGGTGCCAGTCTGCCCTCCATGGAAGTCCTGTACACCTTACGGGTCATAAAGAGGGCAGAGAGGATTTCAGCAGACCCCTCTCACCCTGGATACAAACTCTCTGAACTCCTCCCCTCCAGACAGCGCTACAGGTTATTGTACGCCATGTCTATGCTGCTCTTTTAACTTGTATATATTGTGCATTTATTTTGTTTTTATGTTGTGCACATTGGGGGGCATTGAGCTGGAATCAAATTCCTTGTGTTCTTGAAATACTTGGCAATAAAGTTTATATTTATGCGTATGCTTAGGCTAAGTTGTGTAATACACAATGGCTGTAGGCCAAGAAGACAACCTTTGCGTAGAAGGCCTGTGACTGCAGCACAGTGCAAAAGAGAGACTTGTGTCTGTGAGGACATTTAAAGGGAGCTCCAGGTACACAGTATTCATTTTTACATGAAGTCTCATTATCTTCATTCTGAAGTTCATTAGTAGTAAATGGTCTTATACTTGTATAGCGCCTTTCTACGCTTTTACAGCACACTCAAAGTGCTTTCACAGCACACTCAAAGTGCTTTCACATTATTCGGCCATTCACCCATTCGCACTCCCAAGCACTCACACACCGGTGACATCACCGGGAGCAACTGGGGGTGCAGTGTCTTGCTCAAGGACATTTCGACATGTTGACTGGATAAGCCAGGAATCAAACCATTAATCCTCCGGTTTGAAATGACCTGCTCTACCTCCTGAGCCACAGCGCCCCCCTAGTGTGTTCTGTCATTATCTAAGACAGAATATACACCTGTGTGATCAATAAAAAGTTATATAGAATGAGAAATTAGATGGGGATAATGGGAAACGAAGTGTAGCTTTTGGGGGGGGGACCAGTTGGACCACATCTTTTGATTAGAGCCAGATGATGGGAACTGATCCTTGTGGTTCCAATATGAGATCTGAGTGCTAGCCCTTGTTTATCATGTGTCTGACACCTGAGTCCATGCTCCTGCTCTCCTCCTCAAATATAAACTGCTAAATCTCTTCAGCTGACACTCCTGCATCCTGATACAGATGTGTGCTGAGGCCCTTTACAGAGCTTCACTTAACTTATTTGAGCAAAAACTCTGTTAGATTATATTTTGTGTATGGCAGAATATTATTATATGCTAATATTAAAATATGATAAATGCTGATCAGACAAATGACCAGTATTATCACTGCACACCTGTTTGTTCTTTCTTTCTACCTCTTTTGCAATAAATTGCACATCACCGTTCAGCTTCTATTTCTCTGTATCACAGTCCTCAGCATTTGTGGTCAATAAAAGGCCAGTGTTTGTTTGGGGGCGGCTGTGGCTCAGGAGGTAGAGCAGGCCAGCTCCTAACCAGAGGATTAGTGGTTCCTGGCTTGTCCACTCAACATGTCGAAGTGTCCTTGAGCAAGACACTGAACCTCCAGTTGCTCCTGGTGATAGCACTGGTGTGTGAATGAAAGTGAGGAAAAGTGCTTCTGTTCTACGAGCTAATTTGTTTCAAGTTTCCTGTGGCCTTAAAGGAACACACTTCTCTCAGGAGAGACATTTAAAAAGGTTGAAATCTCTGTAACTGTACTGTGCGCAGTCCTTGAAAGTCAGTAAGTAGGGCAATTAGCACAAAAAATAATGCATATTGTTTTAGAGGCTTCTTCTGACCAGGAACGGCCAAAACCCAAAGTATATTCACATATACAAGATCAAAATAAAACAGTTTTAAATCCATATGACACAGGTTCCCCATCAGGTTTAGCAAACTGTGTGCATAGAATCTCACCTAAATATATATTTCTTCATATCACATGAACTGTTGGGGGCTCTGTATTCTTTATTACATTTTATAGAGAAATATAGGAGTTTCTCCACTACATTTACTATATATCTTTTCTTAGTAGTTGCTTTTCAGTACCAGTACCAATTTAATAAAATCCCCCATATAACATTAGAACCATAATTCATATCTTCTACGATTTTATTCACAAATGCTAAAAGTTGAAATTTAAAACCATTAACTGAAAGAAAAAGGCGGAACTCCTCCATGAAGCCAATGTAGCACCCGGACAACGGACAGCGCGCGCTTCGAGGAGTTATTGTACATCTCTTACAACTGTGTTTGTAAGGTCAGCTCATCTTCGGAAAAGGAATAAGTTTGTGCAAGTGTTAATGTTTTGATAACGAGCTTAGAAAGCGAAGTGTGGAGGAGCGTGTGAACACTTCGTAGCCCATCACCAACAAACTGACGTTAACGGAGCAGCGAACGTAGGAACAAACGAGCAGCAGCTCATCAACACACACTGCAGCACGTCGGTTAAACTGGTGAGACAAAGAAAGGAGCTTGTTTCTACAGACTTGGTTCTGTTTTGGATCACGTTGGCTTTCTCTGCTAGTAACAGACGCTGTTCTCCGATCGTTTACTGAAGTAAATTAGGAGTGCTATCGTGTAAAAAATTCTAAGTAAAAGTCCTGTACTCAAACTATTACTTAAGTAAAATCTCAAATGTATTTGCAATTAAATATAATATAATATAAATGGCAACGCAATGGAATTGCTCCTAATGTTCTGAACTATTTGACATCCTCATAATCCGCCATTACTCTTATAGTGTCAGTGGAGATCTTGTCCCTCTCCTTCTTAATTCTCTCTGGGCCCAGCTTTGATCAAATGTTCCCACTTTGTAACCATGGTAACGGGTGTCTATATACTCTATTTTTTTTTTCCTCTCCAGGTGAGCGTTTGTGTGGTGACAAGCACTGCAAAATGACACCACAGAAAAAGAGGAGAGGTTTGAAACAGAAGCTGAAGAGGCAGAAGGAGGAGCAGGAGGAGATCCACAGAGAGAGAGGAGGGGAGGAACTGACAGACGGGACAGAAAGAGGAGCGCAGCTCTCTGAGGTCAGTTCCCAAGACTTTTACAAATAAGCTCCTTTTAATACTGTGTCTGGAGGCTGCATTCTCACACTTCTCCTCAGGGTTTTAACTTAGTGGAATGTGAGCACACTGACATGAAACACACATTTTAAGATCCAGTGTGACTTCTACCTGAGGACCTCACTATCACTGATGTCACTACAGAATAAACCACCATGAATCTCCTTAGAAATAAGACTGTAGAACTTAACTCAAAAACATCGTGTCTTTACTTTTTCTTCTCATTGTGTGAAGAAGTGATTGTATTTGGATGTAAACTGGACCCTTGAATGCCTAGACTGTCTGTTTATGCATAAATGGCAAATAAAAATCTTTAATCTCATCCAAATCTCTTTTAGTCTTTCCATTATTTATATAATTATTATTTAGCTAACATTATGAAATGGCATGAGCCACATATCAGTATTAACAACTAGTTATCTACGTTTGGCTCCTGGTAGCCAGGAAAGTAGAACAGAAGCCTTGATGTGGACAGCGGCTCAGGGGAGAGGTCGGTCCTCTCCTCATGGATCTCAACCAGAGTATGCAAGTCACATTCTCCTTAGCCCCACCCCTGAAACCCCTCCTCTCCACACCAAAACGGTGAAAACGGAAGTGAAAATGGAAAAAAAAAACGGCATTGAAAAACAATGGCCGACAATCAGAAGAAAAAAACAGTATTAATACTTTTTAATGCAAGTGTTTCTTTTTTCAATAGAAATGTTTCAGTGCTGATGTTTTTTTTTTGTTTGTTTGTTTGTTTTTTTCTAGTTACAGTTTTGTTTTCAATGCCAAGCTTTATTTTTTAGTGCCAGTTGATCTGGCCCCATAGGACAGTGGGTAGAGTTATTTCATAATAAGAATTTAAAAACTGGAAACCACTGATTTACACATTTCCTTTGGTTTGAATCTGTTACGATAGTATTCAGCTCTCATCAGTTTTTTAGGGTAAGTCAAATTAAAACCTATCACATTATAAGTTTTATGCAAATTGGTCCATGAACTCGGGGTGGAGCAGTTCACAGAACACACAGTTTGGATCACATCGTGGTTTTTGGATTTAGCCTCCTAAAAATGAGAGGATAGTTCGTGAAAGCACACAGCACCTGCTAATGGTGTTGTGTTGAAAATGAACCATGACCTCATTATTTAATCAGAATTTCTCCGGGTAAACAACAATATATTGTTTGAAGACCACGATATGCTAACCCCTGTATATACAGTAGGAACATGTCTTTACCTGTCACACTAAGGTGGTATATCTGAAACATTGCTTGAGGTTTTTGGTGGAGATATTCACTCAGTAATTGATTACCATGAACCTGCAAACAGAGTTCCCTGCAGACCTCCCTCTTAAATGTCATTAATTCAGGACAAGACCCCAAATCCTCCCAAACAATAACAACCTGCAGTTATAGGCAGCTACCTTGTTATACCTTCAGATGTTAATCTACTGAGAAGTTTTGGGAACCAGTATACTTTGGCTCTTTGAGGAAGTGTCAGGTTTTGTCTGAAATAACCCATAAAAGCCGTGATACTGGCCACTTATGACCATATTTGCCATGGTTTTTATAGTCTTCTTGTCAAGTAGGCTTCGTCCTCTCATCCAATCAGATGCCATGGCTTTCAGCCATCACCACCGTTGGCATGCAAAGTCTTGTTTTCCAGAATTGTTGTGTATCTTTTATCGTCATGATTCAGTACACTGCCCATAACTGGCCTCCACCCATTGTTATTCAGCATTATCTGCTTCTCTTTTCTCAAAAACAAATAATTCTGAAAGCTAATAAAAGTACAAAAATCCCAACATAACATCTAACTAAACCATAGGAATTACACACTTATACAAAACCTGTCAATGCACTGAATTTAAAATGTAGATCACTATATTATTTTGAATACAAAATTACTTTAACTACTTTAACTTAATTACTGTAACTTCTACAGCTTTACAATAGTTCTCTCTAAAAGTACAGAAACATGGCATTAAAAGACATGAAACCTGTGGGGTTTTTCATTGTTTTGTTTTTTTAAATTTTTTTTATTTTTTTACTTACTGTTAATTCTCACCGAGTAGTGGAAACATCTCTCCCTTTCAAGTTGCTCCAAGGTCAGTAAATCGAACCGGTGGTCGCTGTGTCTTTCCCCACATGACCACATACAATCCCAAAGCAGTGAAATTAATTCCAACAGGTAGTGTAGCTCCAACAATAATATTATGGGTCGTTAATCCGCTGGTTAACCAGCGACACATCACATGTGGTGGCAGACACACTGGCCTCAAGCAGCCAAAACAAACAGGTACGGTGCTCTGGGGGAAATTCAGTGTTGATGAGCTGATCATTCATCACCGCATGGGCTTCACTGGCCGGCTGCTTGCAGGTTAGACCTGATAAGGTAAAACGGTGAGACCCTGAAGATAATGACCATTCAAGGAAATCCTTAAATTATCCTGTAATTCTTAATTTTGTTAGGAAAAAAGTCTCACGAGTGAGAGTTTGGGAGACTGGTATAAACCGCATTGGTTCTGCATAGAAATTCTAGAAAATCCGTACACCAAATTTTTTTAGCTTTGGCTCATGTCTAAGATGATAATTAACCATTTAACATTGTAGATAAGTCAGGAAACAATGAAAATCCCCCTGGGCTCTTTAAAGAACTTGAAGACATTGTCCTTGGTTTTAGGTGAAAACAATATTCCACTCCTGCTGGTTTGGAGGTAAAATGAGGACTAAGGCTGGTTCACTGTGAGCAAAGTAGCAGAGACGTCACATTTCTACAGTTTGTGTTCTGCCTGTTCAACAGCTCTTTCCAAAGCTGCTCCTGCATTCTCCCTGACTGAATGATTATGTTGCACCATGATTACAGAGCACTGTGAATGCTGAATTCAGTGAGAGAGAGAGACAGAGAGAACTACAGACATGGAAAAACAAAGTGCAACCACCACATCAGACTGTCAAATTCTCTTTAGGTTCCTGATGAGGAAAAGCCAAAGTCCCCTGCTGTGTACAACAACGCCTTGCTTTTGCTAGAAACTGAAGTGCCAGGGACAACGAGGTAGCGTCTTATTGGCAATTAATCCATGGTTTATGTGCGTGCCGAACCGCCGTCCCTGGCAGGCTAGGGGTTAAGGTGCAGGAAGGGCATCCGGTGTAAAACACATGCCAAATGTCAACATGCGAGTCCTCAGTGTGACAATTCGCTGTGGCGACGCCTAAACAGGAAAAACCGAAAGTGGCTTTCTTTCTATATGCGACCGAACAATGAAAGGGATCTGTACAGATCATGGATCAGCTACCATCTGTTACACCACTACAAAGAGGATGGCTGAAGCATTTTATCTGAGGAACTAATTTCCATGTTAGTCACATGTTCTTTCTGGTGTGTTGTCGTTCTCCCTTCTCCGCACAGTACAATATAGATTATGAAGTATTTGATGGGATATGCTGCCATGTAAAACCACTGTGGCCATATTAGCCAGCAGTTACAAGTTTGCAGCTGCTGTTACACAATAAAAAGGATTCTAACTACACATAGCATTCTGGGAGGTCTGCTCATTGCATATTTTGGTGAACACCAGACTCCTGATCAATGTAGATGTGAACGAGGCTCAGACATAAACTGCTAAATCTCTTCAGCCCTCACTCCTGCGTCCTGATACAGATGTGTATTGAGGCCCTTTCCAAAGCTTCACTTAGGTTAACTCGGTTAGATTATATATTGTGTATGGCAAAATATGTTGATATACAAATATTATAATGCCTCTAGAAAGAATCTTGAAAAATTAACCAAAATTAAAGAAGCACTAGGACACAGACTGAAATGCCATCCTCCTAAACATGAAGAGGGCAGTAAAAGGTATCTGTTTGTTTTCTGTATATTTTCTAACTAGCTTCACTAGTACGAATGCAGAACCTATTATATTGAGCGAAAGTGCTTCTGTTCTCTACGAGCTAATTTGTTTCAAGTTTCCTGTGGCCTTAAAAGGACCCTTTTCTATTAGGGTCTCAGGAGAGACATTTAAAAAGGTTGAAATCTCTGTAACAGAGGTCGAGCTATCAACCAACTCAGTCTGTGTTATGGTTCAGGCTCCAGAATCTCTGGATCCTACATTTCTTCTGATGCTAGTCTGCAATGGGGATGGCATTCAGTAATTTCAAAATGTTAAAGGAGCATCTGTGGGGATCAGTCATGTTTCTATAGAGGCCAGTGTCACCCCAACCTCCTCTGGCTGTCACAGAAACAACTTAGTCAAACCTCAGGTGATTTATGAGCCACAGATGTGCTGCAAATATGTGTTATGATTTTACATTATTTAATAATGGCACTTTCCCTCTCTTTGTCTCTTGCTATAGGAACAGAGAAGAGGAACCAAAATGAAGCTTCACACCTGTCAACACTGTGACAAGGCCTTCTCAACATCACAGTGTTTAAAGCGTCATCAGCGTATTCACACTGGAGAGAAGCTGTACAGCTGCGACCAGTGTGGATCAGCTTTTAAAAATTTGGGGAGTCTAAAATACCATCAACATATTCACACTGGAGAGCAGCCATACAGCTGTGACCAATGTGGGGCAGCTTTTAATCAGATGGGGAATCTCAAAGTCCATCAACGTATTCATTCTGGAGAGAAGCCGTACAGCTGTGACCAGTGTGGGTCAGCTTTTAGAGTGTTGGGGAATCTAAAATCCCATCAACGTATTCACACTGGTGAGAAGATGTTTTGGTGTGAATGGTGTGAGAAAACTTTCACTACATCAAGTGCACTAAAAGTCCATCAAAGTATTCACATTGGAGTGAAGCCATACAGCTGTGACCAATGTGGGGCAGCTTTTAGACAGTTGTGGAGTCTAAATTCCCATCACCTTATTCACACTGGACAGAAGCCGTACATCTGTAATCAGTGTGGGTCAGCTTTTACACAGTTGGGGAGTCTAAAATCCCATCAGCGTATTCACACTGGAGAGAAGCCGTATAGGTGTGACCAATGTGGGGCAGCTTTTAGAGTGTTGGGGCGTCTAAAATCCCATCGACGTATTCACACTGGAGAGAAGCCGTACAGCTGTGAGCAATGTGGGGCAGCTTTTATCCACTTGCAGAGTCTAAAATCCCATCAACGTATTCACACTGGAGAGAAGCCGTACAGCTGTGACCAATGTGGGGCAACTTTTAGAAGGTTGGACTATCTAAAAGTCCATCAATGTATTCACACAAGGGCAAACATGTAAATCTGTCAGTGTGTCTACACCAGACCTGGGCATTGTATGGCCCGCGGGCCACATCCGGCCCTCTGGCTCTCCCTGAACAGCCCGCATGAAGTCATCAGTAAATTAAAAGTCGGTGTAAATATTTTACAGTAATACATGCATTACAACTGCATTGTTACGGCTAGCCATCAGGATTAACAACTGAGGACCCAGTAAATGCAGGACTTGGACACAGACTCAAGCTCAAAATGATTTAATCAGAAGTGGTAACAGAAAATATTAAGATGTGGTGGGGACGTTTCAGCTGGTCATGGGTGACTGGGAGTTGTGTTGACTGGACCGCTAGATGAACAACTCGGGGTTGGCGGTGAGCAGAGGCAACCACTGAATTGAAAGCAGAGGAGGGTGAGAAGACTGGGCAGATCAGCAGAGAGGCTTTATGTGGGAAAGACATGACGAGAACCTGGGTTATGATGAATGAGTTGTGCAGGGAGTCGCGAGGTGATGAGGTGTCTGCTGGTCGGTGTGTGAATCCGCTGGCAGTAGAAGTCGTGGTTCACAGCAGGTGTGGCAGCAGCCCACCTGCTCTACACCAGTGTGGGAGGTGCGCCTGGGTAGCCAAGTTGCCGTGGAGGTACGTACAGTCCCACAGGATAATCCTAGAAAAAACAGATTTAATCAGAACTTAAAACAACCAGTGAAAACTCAAACTGGTGAGAAGACAACAGGATTCAGCAAAGTAGAGAAAAGAATCGATTCCCCAGAAACCATAGTTCATACAAAAAATATTCAGGGGATTTCCTCTGGCAGAAAGCAAACAGTTCAGTTCAGAAAAAATGCATGAAAAAATACTGAGATCACCGAGGGGAAAAAAGAAACACAGGTTAGACAGAACGGAAACACACTGAATACTTGCTGGACATCGAGAGATCATTTGGCAACAAGGACCCACCAACGCTCTTCTTAAGTACTGCTCTGATAATTGCGAGCAGGTGTACCTCGTAGCCGAGAGTGTGCTCGCACTCGTGCAGGGGCGGAGTTTCCTACAGTCCCAGTGCTTGCTGACGAGGTGCTGGGAATGGCCTGATTCACGGACGCAACATGCACTCCTTCTATTTTTAAGGAACTGCTAAATTAAGGGTGTTTCTCGTGTGACCATACGCACCCTCATTTGAATGTTTTGGCTAACTTGTTGGACTGATGTCAGCTAGTGTAGAGAAAAAAAGATAGATGCAGAATGCAGTGTTTTTAAAAAGGTATGGACTTCCAAGTATTTATTTACTGAAGTCAAAGGTAAAGCTGTGTGCCTAGTTTGTGGAGAACAGATATTGGTGTTTAAGGATAATTATAATTTGAATCACCATCATGAGAGAGAAGTACAAAAACTTGACTGATGTGTAACGGGCACGGATGTCTGAATCTTTGCTAGCTAAACTGCAAAAGCAGCAAGGATTTTTTTTGTACGTGGATATTAACAAAAAACTTTGAGATGACAGCAGCTGACAGCTATGCGGTCAATGAAAGGGATTGTTAGGATTGGATTTCAGGAGTTAAAGTTATTTTTCTACTTATCATCAGTATTATTTTGCTTTTATGATGGAATAGTTCAGTATGACTATTTGTCTGTGTTTCATTAACAGCTCCATGTATCAGTGTTGACCTAAGCTCTTATGTATGCATCATAGTCATAATATTCAGATTTGAGTCAACTAGTAGTATTTCTTGTCTTCTTGGTGAAATGTGCATAAATTGATTGCAGAGATAATTGTCATCCTGAAAACTATAGATAAGATGCTAACTGCATGTCTACTTTCAGTTAGAAAGAAACGCCTGAAAATAACAACACATGCACTGCTTATTCGAACATTCTAGAATATTTGTATGAACCTTGTGTCCAGTTCATGTTGCGAGTGTAGAGCCAACAGATAACATGAAGATAACATGAGTTCATATTTGCATGAACCTTGTATGAACCTTGAGACAACAGATTAGAAGATAATGAGTTCCACCCATGTACAGGGCAGTCCCAGCCCGAGAAGATAAATGTAAATTACTTCCTATTATCAAGGCTCTTGGGACTTGTCATCTCACAGATCCCAGCGCTGTAATAACTCTGCATTTAACCAGAAGAAAATACAGTGCCTTGCGTCTACAGTGCCTTGCGAAAGTATTTGGCCCCCTTGAACTTTGCGACCTTTTGCCACATTTCAGGCTTCAAACATAAAGATATAAAACTGTAATTTTTTGTGAAGAATCAACAACAAGTGGGACACAATCATGAAGTGGAACAAAATTTATTGGATATTTCAAACTTTTTTTAACAAATAAAAAAACTGAAAAATTGGGCGTGCAAAATTATTCTGTTGGTCACATTTGATAAATGTCTTGAATCTGATATTTTAAGTATTTTGTACAAGTTTGTATTATTTACTGTTTTACCATGTTTGAATACAGAATATGTAAGCAGCCATTTTGGTGATATACATTTCATGGGATTTTTGGAAGCAGTGATGTTGTGTTACACTTAGTTTCTGGTACCGTTTAAATACTGCTGTTGTACTCGCTAATAAAAATGATCCAATATAAACACAACAGTGTCACTTTATGGCAACGTTACATTAACCTCACACAGGCTGAGCAGGTGATTAAGCAGAGTAGAAGATATTTCAGTGGTGTGGAGTAGGGCTGGGTGATCAAACAGTCATTTCTGATTGATAAATGTGTTTGATCTGCTTTTGAGCAACTCCCCGTACAAGCAACTTGTTAGACCTCAGCCCTAGCGTTCAGTAGCTGAAGCAGTGAACCATATACTGTAGTAGGTTTGTATATTGGCAAGAATCTGGCGATACGATACATATCACAATACAGGAGTTATGATTCCATATATTGAGATACTGTAAACAAGGCCATGTATTGTGACATTGGAACCAGTTATGTTAAGTACAAATTCCTGCCTGGGCTTTGACAGCTTTACCCAATTTGCATCTAGGACCCACAGTGCAAAAAATTCTTGGACTTTCTTGTCTCAATCTTTAGAGATGTCCAAAATCACCCAATCAAATCACACCTCTATCTGCACTATGTAATGAATAAGATGTTGCCACCACGGGGGGCCAGCAGTTGGCTCAATGTTATCTAGAGTCACCAAAGTGGCAGGGCCATTCTCCTAGAAAGGGGGGAGACTCTGCATGGGTTTTAGGTCTGATAAATGCACGCATCTCTGGAGGTCAGCACTCATTGGCATGTGTTGGCTCTAGAATTGCCACAGTTATCCAAGTAACATGGGAGCGATCAAAGGAAACTTAACTTATTTAATGAGCCATATGCAGTTTCACTGTACTGGCTGTGTGTACTTGCATGGCTTACCTTTGGGAAACATTGTGCTCACTGGAGCCCCACTGTGTGAGCTGGGGGCGGCTGTGCTGTGGGGGCTGGGACCCCAATGACAGGCTCTGCTGTGGGAACTCTGGGGCAGACAGGATTCTCGGTCTTGCCACCAATCGGGCAGCCCGGCAGCAACATAGAGGATTCAAGACGGTGACGAGTTGGCCTACAGATGGGAGGTTGAACAGCTGGCCCTGTGATGTGGTCACAACAACCTGGAGCTGAACACATGGAAGACAGTGGAGATGATAGTGGATTTTAGGAGGAACTCCCCCATCTTATCTCTGCTCACCATACTCAGCAGTACTGTTTCAGTCATGGAGTCCTACAAGTTCCTGGGCTCCACAATCTTTCAGGACTTGAAGTGGACAACCAACACCGGTGCCATTATTAAAAAGGCACAGCAGAGGATGTTCTTCCTGTGTCAGCTCAGGAAGTTCAACCTGCCTCAGGAGCTGTTGATTCAGTTCTACTGGGGAATCATCGAGTCGGTTCTCTGCACTTCCAGCTGTGTCTGGTTTGGCTCAGCAACCAAACAGGACAGGAACAGACTCCAGCGGACAGTCAGAACTGCAGACAAAATCATCGGTGCCAGTCTGCCCTCCATGGAAGTCCTGTACACCTTACGGGTCATAAAGAGGGCAGAGAGGATTTCAGCAGACCCCTCTCACCCTGGATACAAACTCTTTGAACTCCTCCCCTCCAGACGGCGCTACAGGTTACTGTACGCCATGTCTATGCTGCTCTTTTAACTTGTATATATTGTGCATTTATTTTGTTTTATGTTGTGCACATTGGGGGGCATTTGATCCTAAGTCATTAGTGAAGGCAATCAGTATAGACCTGAGCTGCACTATGATTGTCGAGGACTCGCCAGCTGTGTGATCAAGAGGTTCATCCCAGCAAAACGGGGGACCTGTACGTGCTCGGCTCCGAAACAGCGAGTTCAGGCCAGCTATTTGAGATTGCAGTGCGCTGGTGTCTGTGCAGCTGTGCAGTCACTAAATAAATCTTTTTGTAGCTTTACCATGGTTTCATAAAATGTCGCTTTGGCATACAGCTTGAGAAGGCTCCTGTAAAGTTCTTCATCTTCATCGAGGGAACACGTGAAGCTGTATTTGTCCACAGGAGCACCTGTCTCTTTCATACTCTCTGTTTTAAGCGACACCTCAGCAATGTCATCTGGGATTATGTGAATTTCGAGGTCGCGCGCAAGGTGCAGGTCTGCTTCTGTCTCCTGCTCAACTCGACATTCTTGGGCTCGGGCTCGGGCCCGGGCCCTTATGATGTGTTGAGGTAATGGCACTTCAAAGTCCCCAGAGTTGAAATCGGGCCTTAGCACTGGAGGAATCAGTTCAGCCTC